TATATACACACACACATACATGCATATATGTGTTCTGGCAGATGCTGACTTGCTCAACACCAAAAACAGTTACAGATGTTCTAGACATGTACAAGCTTTTAGCTAATTCATGGTTACAGATGTTACCATGTGAAAAACAAATTTAGAATTTTGGAGGCAGATAGTTCAACCTTTTAAAATAAATCAGAAAAGGCTTTTCTGTCACATGACTCAACATAGTTGACACACATCGTATTTAAAAGTATGGTCACAGATGTGGGTTTATGGTTAGATTCCCAGCTCATGTTTTCTTTGCCTTGGGAAGTTTCATATAATACACTTTCAAAGCAATTGTTCTCATTCAGTCTCTTCGCGGTCAGAGTTTCCTGGAGCAAAGTTTTACCCGTCACTGGGATAGCTGGCAAAATCTTAGTCACCTTTGCAGGGAGAGGCCTGAAGTCAGTGTTGCCAGACTAAGTGATCATGGCCCTGCCAGTTTTTACATTTGTAAGCAGGTGCACTGAAGGCAGACACCACTTCTGCACAAAGTGATTGGTGCCGAGAGCTTGGAGCCAGACACGTGAAGGCTTGTCCTCTCCACCTCCTCTCCACGGAGAGCATCTCGACGGCAGGACGAGTTTGGCAGTAGTTGAAAATGAAATCCAAAATTCAAGACAAATTGACTCAACTTATAATTCATAAAAAATGATAATGTGCCAAAATACTATTAGTATTTCTTGAGGAAATTATGAGTAGGATAAACATTACCACATATGAATAAAATTCAAAAATCTTAAATGTAGAATTTGTGACAACTCCTCCTAAAATGAACTCTTAGGAATCGATTATATATGCTTTAAATCTACCGAAAATGTATTCTGAATTCTGGAATTAAGCTTTATTTTGTCACACTAATAAGGAAACTTGACTTTCAAATGACAGTCAAGTTAGAGTTCAAACATTTGTCATAAAAGCAGACAGTTAGAGGGACACTAGATCAGATTCCAATTTGGTTTAAAGAGACACATGGCGAATTTAAAGAGTAGCTTCTGAAAATAAGACGTTAAGCAAAACTGAACCTTGAGCTGAATCTAGGTTAAAGCAAAGCACTATATACTCATACAGATCTGCTGTTATTTGGATAATTGTCCCCCCGGAAGGCCTATGAATCAAAAGTTGAGTACCAGGTCATGCTACTGTTGGGTGCCGATGCGACTTTGAGAACTGGAGCCTCCTGAGAGGTCTGTGATCATGAAGAGAGGTACCTCCTCAAAGAGATCTAGGCCCTCCTTCCTCTTTGGCTTTCTGCCTCTAGGAGAGTAGATTGACTTCACTCTAGAGGGGAGTGGCTTCACCCTAGAGGGGTGTGGCTTCTCTTTACCAGGCGCTCACCCTCTGGGACCTGTTGCTTTCTGACAGGCTTGAAAAAGAATGAGATCACTCCATTCAGTACAACTTCCAAAACCATAAGCCCAGATAAGCCTTTTCTTTTCTCCGCTTATCCCAACTGTGTTATAGTAATGCAAAGCTGATTAACACAATAACCATAATTATTAGATTCATTTTATCCTTGTAAAGGGAGAATTAAACTATTGTATGGCCATTTCCTCCAGATTTCCTTGACCACAGCCATTCTGAAGCAAAGTTTCCTGACCTACAGCAGACCCTGACCCACAGTCACCAAGAAGAACAGTCAAAGGCAATGAATGATAATGAGACCATTTGCAGGAGGGAATCACTAAGGAGCCCTTGAGATTCCACTCAACACACCAGTCTGCCCTAGCTGCAAGTGATCTCGAAGGAGGTAGAGGTTACAATAGGTGGAAGGTTAAGTTATTGGGGGGATTTTTGTGCCCTGACTTCTCCGTATATGCTGGGAACCCTTCAGTGATGCAACACTCCCTGAGTCACCCTGACTGCAGGGGAAGTGGAGGAGTTGCTGCCTGTAAGTCACCCCTGCTCCCATAAGTATCCCCAGCAAATTCATTGGTTCACCAAGCTGGGCTTTGACAGAATCCCTTTATTCATATGCTGGTGCCCTCTTTATCTGGGGTGAACAGAGGTTTCCTTGCATGGCTCCAGGAAAGGTTACACAACATAGAGGGAGTCATTTAAATTTATGATTAGCTCTCTGCTAGGCATTAAGCATTATAATTTACCAGCAGAATGTAAATTAATCCTCAAATAACTGCATAATATATGCCATTCTTTATTTTTTTTTCTGATGAAGAAATAGTCCCAGTATAGCAGGAGAATAGGAATTCAGAGAGAGACACCAAAATTAACATTTAAAGAAAAAAAAACTAGTTGGAAAAAGGGAAAAAAAGCAAAACCAAAAAACAGGAAATCTTTCCCTGACTGGATGAGGCACAACCAAGCCAGGATGCTGGGTATAAAAGCGTGGGAGAGGCGGGTGCTATGCAAATGACCCATGAAGGGTAAGGGTCATGAGCCTTATGACCAACGACTTCTGAGTTTTTACCTTTTTCCAGCTCCCTGGCCCAGTCTTATGCCAGCTTTAGTAAATTGTCTCTCTCTCTCTCTATTTCTAACCATGTGTCCCTGGTGTAATCCTTTGTCTTGGGACACAAGACCCTGGGAATTCCAGTGGATATTCTGAAACTCAGATTCACAGCTTTTAACACTTTAATCAGAGAGCTATGGAAACTTGCCCAAGCCACCTCCTTGATGGAAGCAGACCTGGGACTTGGAGAAATGTGTTCTGATTATCGAGGTAAATCAAGCTGTACCTTTGCCTCAGCCGATAAAGCAGAAGTGGTAGGGACGTGATAAGAAGGAGAAGGCTGGGTTCGTGCACTGCGGTTAGCCTGTTGAGAGCTGCGCCTCTGAAACTCTCAATCACTTACCTCACTAAAACAAGGATCAGCAAAGGAGCCTTTACCTGTTCATTTGGAGAGGATGTCTTGGGAGTCTGGAGGCAGCTGAAATATTGCAAGAGAAAGGATGAAGGGGTCAAAGCATCCAAATAACTCACAAATGAAAAAGCAAATCACAGAACTTGCACATTCTGTAGAAAAAAAATTGCATAAAACACCCTGAAGACTTTGTACTTTGATTAATAGCTACTTCTGAAAATTGCTGACTTTATAAAAGCTGATCTACTTAACACACACACACCAAAAACAAAACCAAAAACAACTGAGTTTTACTGATAAAAGTTTGCTAAAATTAAGAAGTATTATGTGATTCAAAATTTAAAATGTAAACCAAGTCCAGATAGTTAATCCAGCCATGGCCTTCTAACGACTCGCTATCTTCCTTCACTAAAGTCAGTTTCATTTGGCTGCTTTGTGCTTTCGGCAAATGACTGTTCCCTCTTTCGAGTCTAAGTTTCCCTTTTGAAAACAATGTGGACAGCTGAGCTCAGCATTCTCAAACGGTGAGTCAGACTTTCCTCATTTTCTCTGCAAGTTAAAATATGTGTGCTTTATGTTTCAGAGCTTTTCCTTCTGCAGTCTTTGATGAGAGGTATATGTGTGACATCTGAGATACACATGCATATGTACATGCATATGTATGCATATGTGCATGTGTGTGTGTATGTATAGTACTGCATTATAAATAGGAAATAATTTAAATCTTACATTATTTTATTAACGCCCTAACCAGAGTTGGAGGTAGAAAAGAGGTAAGAAAAAATGGTTCTCTGAAATGTTTTCTCAGTCTCTCCTTTCATCCCTACCGGTTTCTCTTATAAGACCAGAGAACTCAGTACCACCAACTTCCACATGCGGGTTTCTAGCAGAATATCCTCAGCAAACCTTCACCTTGGACACAGCCTTTATTGTTTTTGATACATTGTGTCCCTAGAGAGACATTGGTCACCTGACTACAGGAAACCAGAAAAAAAAAATATAGTGTTTCTCAAAGGCGTTATTATTTTATTGAAGTAAGAATCACTGGTCAGGAAAACACTGAGCATTCATGATTCTGGTGTTCTGAATGCCAATGTCTCTTGCTCCCCAACCTGTAACCACAGTTAAGTAGACAAAATGACTCCCTCTATATTTCCGGAAACCCAGGTACAGAATGATAAGGGGAAAAAAAAGTTGCTCCAGGCCCTGTAGTCAATGTGCTGGCCTATCTTCATGTCATGTCAACAGTCAACAGAGGACACTTGTTTATTGGAATTCAGGGCTTCACCCATGCTAGACAAATACTCTATCTCTACATGCAGTCTTTTTCCTTTTTTTTGAAACAAAACAGGCACTCACTAAATTGTCCAGGCTCACCTTGAACTTGCAATCCACCTGCAGTCCACCTGCCTTAACCTCCTGAGTAGCTGGGCCATCATGCATGGCAGCACACCCAGCTATGAGTACAGTTTTGAAGAGAAATAATGATCCCCTGCACAGAGACCGAAAGGCAGAGGTGAAAGCGCTGTTGGGATGTGTACTTACATTAAAGAGTTTCAAGTGTCTGCAATGTGTATTGCTTATATGGTAAACTGCTTGATTAGTGGCTCTCGCAATTCTTCAAAACAGTGGAAGCAGAGATGAGTAAAGTGGCCATTCTATTTTCACGTCAGGAGAAATAACTAGCCATCTAGGGACTAGACACAAAGCTCAGCTTTCAAGCCAAAATAAGAATTTTGGAAAACTTGTAAGTTCTATCCTAAACTTGTCAGATTCTCAATTATTAGTGACTTTCCTGAAGAAATTGATATGGATAGTAGCAAATATGACTTTTTAATATTAAAAAAAATAAAATGTGTTAATCAAGCAGATTTAGTCTGTAATGTTAGAGGATCGTGCAAAGAGCAATGATTCCCTTCAGCTGCTAGACCATCAGTAGATTTAATGCTACAGAGCTGGACATTCAGCAATCTGACCTCAGAACCCCAATTCAACCAACATAGCAAGTGATCATTTTGCTAAGGTAGAACTAAAAGTTCATCAAAGGAAAGCTGTGGACAAAGGAGTGGAACCTGTTTTTGGTGGAGATGTACCACTGTCTCTTCCTTGGGAGCTAACACAGTTGGTCCACCAATCACCTGGCCAAGAAACCTTCTGTCCCCCAGAAAGGCAGGTCACCTTAAGCTGCGTCAGAAATTGAGGAATAGTTATCTCTTTGATAAGATGATGTACTTTTCCTTCCCAGAATTCCCACCCCCAGCACAGTCACTACTATCATCAGCTAAGTTTCTATTAAGTCTGCCTGAGTCAGAATGTGGAAAGGTACAATTTCCTGGTTCTTCTTGTCTGTCTTGTTCTTTTAGATGTTGGCCAAAGCCTAAGTCTATTTTTCTGGGCCTGTGGGTTTTCACTATTTCTCTAAAGCTCCCTTCAAGTGGCTGCTTGCTCCCCATATGGCTGTTCTCCAGCTAGTTTAGCTCAGACAGTATAGCCTTTTCCATTTTCCTTCATCATTCCCCTTCTCCAGTATGCTTGCCTGCCTTGAGGCTATTTCCTTTAAACTCAGATAACCTTGTCCTGGAGCTTCCTTTTGAATCCATTCTTAAATGATTTCATTAAGGAGACTAAGAACCACACTGAGAGGGGACCCCGATTTCCTCAGTAACTTGTGGCCACTCTGCTGAGACTCTCCAAAATCCCCTGTAAGAACTTTATAGCTTTAAGTGTAGTATCCAAGAAGAGCCTTAATTATCTTTTTGAAAAGCCAATTTCGTATGATTTCCTCTTTGTAGTTCAACCAAAATGTCACAACTAACTGAAACAGCAAAGTCTAAATACCTTTTTTCTCAAGACACCAAATAAAATATACATAATATACAAATATATAATATAATGTCCCTATACATCATATATGTATATCATATACACATATGTATATAATATGTACACATAATGTGTACATATTATATATATTACCACACATACATACACATCAAGTCACAAAATAAGCCAGTGTTCTTTACTTCTGAGCCATCTCTCCAGCACAAAAAGAAAATAAAAAGTGTTCTGAACTTTTGAAAAGTTTCTTATTTTGTTTTCAGGATTGTTCTGAACTTTTGAGAGTGAGTTGCCTGACCTTCTACTCTTAATTCTGAAAGTCAGCTCCGTGACACCCCCCACCTTCCCCATCTCCCCACCCTGCCCACCCCTCCATCCCCCTACCCAACCTCACCCCTAACCCCCGCCATCAGAACTTAATCAGAGTAACATAGAGCATTTCAGTCATCAATGTGTTAACAGCCATGTGGTTCCTTACCATAGTTATGATGGTGCTAGGACCCAGAGAGTCAACAGAAATAATACCAAGCTCAGGGTCAGCTTCTTAAAAGAAACACCTGAGGAATTTTTGAACATCTGTCTTAGGGGAAACAAGTAAAACTTAAAATCTGTTTCTTGAGCCCAGTAATTGGTCCCTAGAAGAAACTCAGCTGTCTCTCAATTTAATCCTTTATTTATTCCTTTTGGTGAACCAAACCTAATTTAGAGAAAGACTTTGATCTCAGGTGAAAAGGCTTTGGAAGTCAACAGTCAGAATGCCTTCATCTACTGGCTGTTTGTCCACAGGCAAGACACTTAAGTCCCAGTCCTCTTGACTCAGTGGCCTTATTTGTAAATTGGTACTGTTGCAATCTGCAGGCCTGGTCTGTCACCTGGGTACCGTCCCTTTAAAAGACAAGCTCTGCCCACTCCAAACTCTCCACTTCCCCTGTCCATCTCCCACTTCTGCTGTGTTCTCTCTCTCTCTCTCTCTCTCTCTCTCTCTCTCTCTCTCTCTCTCTCTCTTCCCCCTCAATAACCCACTAAATAAACTCTATGCCCCAGCTTTCTCTGCATGGCATATCTATCTGTCTCTCACCTGCAGTGGTCTCCCATAGGCCAAGGGGACACACCAAGGCCTCAGGTGGCTTGCCATGGCCCCTTGTGGCACCAGCCTTGGGTCCCACATTTTTATCAATGATAACAGGTATCAGTATTCAAATAAACTGTTTAGAAGAATAATTGGTATATAGAACCACTCATAAGTTTAGCACTTACTTTAGGAATATGCCTGTCTTCCTGATTGTAACACTACAATCAACTATTAAATGTAACTATCAGCTCCAAAAAAATAAAAAAAAAATAAAAAAAAAACAAAAATGAGAGAAATTAAAAAGATGGAAAGAAACCCTCTTCCTAGGAGCTATTTTTGCAAATGTAGTTTAATAAAACGAACCGATGTAGCCTAACAATGCGGCGTGCTGCAATTAGAGAGCACATTCATTTTAATAGGTGAAAATGAAGTGAAAAAGGGAAATACAAAACTTAGCGTGAATATTTTCTCATGCGGTCAAAGGTCTTGGTGCTTTTATAAAGATCTGATACTGGCCGGGCGGTGGTGGCTCACGCCTTTAATCCCAGCACTCGGAAGGCATAGGCAGGCGAATCCCAGTGAGTTTGAGGCCAGTCTGGTCTACAAGAGCTATTTGCAGGACAGTTAGGACTGTTACACAGGGAAACCCTGTCTCGAAAAACAAAAAACAAAACAAAACAACAAAGGATCTGATCCAATCTGGTCTCCTAATCCTCCAGTAGCTTACTGCTACACTCACAAACCCTGTCTCCAGCTCTGCAGAACACTTTCGATGTGTGGTTTTATTTCTGACTTCCTTTTTTTTTAAGGTTCTCTTTGGCTTCCATTTCCTCACAGATAAAATGAATAACATGTCCCTAGACCTCATAGACTTATCGTTAAGGGTAAGTGACATGTTAAATGTCATTGACTGAAAACGTACCTGCTGCTGGAACACACCAACACTCTGTAAGTGTGAATGACCATCTTACCATTAATCTCAACTTCTGAATGGTGCCTACGTTTTGATTGAGTTATAGAGTGAATTTCCAGCAAGTTCATATTCCTTTTCTCTGCCTGTTATATAAATCTGACACTGGAAGCCTTCCTTTATAGTCAGTCATATGGGATCATTATGCGGTGAAAGCAACAAAGAAACATTAAAATCCCCATTCTAATTATGGCTCTTTCCCCCCTCGGTAGTAATCCCTGTTATATTAGTCTGTGAGGGCTGCCATAGCAAAGGACCACAGACCAGGTAGTTTAAAGACTAGAAATACATTTTCCTGAGAATTCTCCAAGCTCGGCATCTAAAATCAAGGCACTTCCGAGTTTAGTCCCTCTGGGCTCTCTCTCAGCCCGCAGATAGCTGTCGGTTCCTTGTGACTTTATGTGTTTTTCACTCTGTGTCTGTTTCCCAAGTTTGCCTTTGTATACGGATATCAAATTAGACTAGAGCCAGCCTTAATGTCATCATTTTAACTTAATTATTCTTATAAAGAT